TTCTCTCTCTCTCTCTCTCTCTCTCTCTCTCTCTCTCTCTCTCATACACACAGCCTAAATTTCCTCACACAAAGCCTTTGGATTATTTTTCAGTAGTTGTTAGACAGCTTGATTTCTAGTTTTGTTATTTTCATAAAACTCAAATTGTGTACTAAATTTTGGATTGTAACCAACTTGGGACAGGGACATGACTTATGTAAAATGCCATGTATTTTGGTGTTATAAAAATAATAGTAATAATAAGGTCTATATTTTATTTTTACATTCTTTTAATCTGTATAATTTATACTAATAAGTAATGCTGAATGGAAAGGCAGTTCAGGTAGATGGTGGGCTTCTCTTTGCTAGAGATTTTCAAGTGAAGGCACGTAGCACTTAGCAGAAATGTTGATGGAACAAAGTTTCTGCATTGGCAAGGAGTTGGAATAGATACCCCCCAATATTATGATTCTGTAATTAAGATTGTTTGTTGTGATTGATGAAATTGGGATGATCAGGAATGAGGTATGCTACCTTATGCTCCTTGTTGGAAGGGCAGGAGATAAACGTGTTCCCTTATCCTTGATGCATAGTATTGTTTATTTGAATTTGGTGCTGAGAAAGTGTTTTTTCTCCTACTGAGAAATCTGACAGATTGCTGTAGGATTTATTTCTTTTATTTCAAGGAATCCAGAGTGAGTGGTGCAATCATGGGTGTGGATTTTTATCTTTTTTTTAAATTTGAACCAAGCATGTCGGAGGGCTTCTGTTTGGAACCTGCTGAAAAGAACAATCTGCCATCAGGTTTAAGAAGAAGGGAGGGATTAAGAAGTATCTTACAGTATTATTTTCCCTGCAGGGCAAAAGAATGTTAAAGAAACTTGCCAAGCCCTACCATAGAGACAGGAGTCATAGCAGCATCTAGCCTCAGTTGACAGAAGGATGATGCAGGCAATCTGGGGTTGTCTGAAGTTCACAGCCAGGCTGTGGGTTCTTTAGCTCTTTGGGGTGTGTTTTAGGGAAGGTCAGTTTCTGGCACAGTGCAAGAGGGAGGGTTCCAAGCACACCTAAGCCCAGTAATACAATAAAAAATGAGCGCTTGATTTTCCACTCCCCTCTCACCCAGGCCAACTCTCTGAACAGATAAAAAGGTAGATTCTCGCCTTGCTGTGATAGGGGCTCAGTTGCACTCCGAACTGGGAACTCTTTCCTTGAAAAAGTCACTGCCATCCAGCCAGCCACCCCCTAACCATCATGTCTCGCCAGTCTTATGGGATAAGCATATCAGGAGGGAACAAGGGATTCAGCTCCAGCTCAGCTTGCTTCTCAGGTGGACAAAGAATGAGCTTCAACAGCGCCTCCACAACCCGTGGATGTTCTGTCCGTGGTGGAAGCGGAGGGGGTGCTTTTGGCAGCAGAAGCCTATATAATGTTAATCAAGGGGGCAACAAGAGAATCTCCTTTGGTGGAATTGGTGGCAGTGGCTTTGGTGCAGGTTTTGGTGGTTGTGGCCAAGGGGGTGGAAGCTTTGGAGCTGGTGGCTTTGGTGGTGGCTTTGGAGCTGGTGGTGGCTTTGGAGCTGGTGGTGGCTTTGGTGGTGCATTTCCAGTTTGCCCACCTGGAGGCATTAAGGAGGTGACTATCAACCAGAATCTCCTGCAGCCCCTCAATTTGGAGATAGATCCAGAGATCCAGAAAGTGAGGGTAGAAGAGAGAGAGCAGATCAAGACCCTCAACAACAAATTTGCCTCCTTCATTGACAAGGTGAGATAGATGCAAAAATTATTTTCTTCTTCTATACCTTTCCTTACTATTTTTAGTATTGTTTAAGATCATAGTATATGGAAGTTATAAATTCCTCTTTTTTTAACCATAAATCTCATGATATATGGAGTAATTTTAAAAGCTTTTTGACTAATTATGTTGTCACTAAATCTTAACTCAAGAGAAAAATCCATGTTTTATATGTTATGTATACTCTGGGGAGAAATGATAAAATGTGGTTCTTGTGGAGATAATAGGTGGCTTTTGAGAAATTTAAGTGAATAGGAAAAGAACCGAAGGAGAAAAATCATTGCTGGGCACATCTACTGTGATAAAATCTACAGCAATGTAACTGTTCAGTCCCCCAAAGAATCTTGGGAACTGTAGTTTGGTGAAGTGTTCGAAATTCTCAAAGATCACTATGTGTCTAAAGGCAGGATGCTGGGGAGAAATTTGACTATCAATCTAGTTGAAATTTATGCTGTTTATATGCCATACTATTTTCTTATGCTCTCAGAATTAACATATATTCAGTAAGACGTCAGCAGAGAAAAGACACTTCAATGCTGATATCAAGAAATCAGAAACGTTAGCTGTCTACTGTAGTGATCATTCTGTCAAAGGACAGAAAATGTAGATACTTCTGGACTGTAATTACTGGTTGTGCACTGGATATTTTTGTGACACATAGCTAGACTACAGATCACTAATTATGTTCACTAACTGTGCATTCACAGTAGTGATACAACACATGATCTTTCCAATGACTTTTATTTATAATTTCACCATTCTTATCTCTCCGCCAACTGCATGGACTCAAGGGTCTTGTGGAAGAGTAGGAGGTAAAACCTGTAATTCTGAATCTGAAAGGGGACCCTGATTGTGAGCCGTGTAGGGGAAAAGATAGAATAAATAAAACATCCAAAATAGTTTGGAGAGAGAAATGCAATTAGTGTTAGAAGGTGCAGTGATTGTGGTTATGTAGCAGAACTGGATTAGCAATCAGTGTGAGTGTTCTACAGAAGATCCAGTGCGCCTGTTCCTGTGGCTCCAGTTATTTGGGGGGTTAGTGATATGAAAACTTATTTTAGAGATGTGGTTGTTCTCATCATCAGACAGGCAACTCCAAGAAAAAAGAATCATCTCACCAGTATGAAAAGGAACAACAGATTGTTCCTACTGCAGAAAACATTTTAAGGCCATCAGTGCCAAGAACATATGGCATGATTTCAAATACCTTTTGTATGATCAATGCTCTGTTGTGTGCAATGAGCTTTAGCCACTTTGTTCATCAGTCCTGATTTTAATTGTATCGTTAGCAGAAAGGTTATAAGGAGAGAACCTGTTGAGGCAGGAACTGGTGTTTTCCAGGCTAGACAGCACTGTTATGTAAATGTAACATGGTCTCCCCAGACCATCAGTGGACCTACCACATGTTCTTTAATTCAAAAAGGCAGGAAGAAGAAACCTAGATTATAAACTCTAAGTATGCTAAGTAGTTTTGCATTAGTTGCTGCATTGTTTATCTTCAATAAAATGTCTAACCTTACCAAGTTGTGTGTGGGAATCTGTTGTAGAGTCTAATCGAGAAGTGAATTTTTACTGCCCAAAAGATGGCATTGAGGTGAATGAGGCTCAGCTAGGAAGACCTCGACAACTTTTGTAGTTGAGAATTTGTTGGTGTTGGAGGGAGATTTTGGTTGATTTGTTGCATTGGGGTCCAATAAGTTAATATATTTCCTCAAATCTTTCACTGGTGAAAATGAGACAGGCCCATCACATATCTGTATTCCATACTTAAGAACTGTTATTGAAATAACCTCCCTAATATTCTTTATGTATATATTGCTAATAGCTCAAAATATATATTGGCTGTGGCAGTAAATAAAATGGTACATTGTTCTGTATAAATTGCCTTTATGATAATGAGAAATCCATCCAGACATCTAACTTTTCCCATTGGGGTGAGGAATATTTGTCCATCTGGTTTAAAATTCTGCTCAGTGCTACCTGGCTGCCAGTCACTGACTGATGAGAATTGGAGTCTATCAGTATATAAAGGTCCATAAGTTCCCTATCCATGTTCTAGAGAGAGAGTGAAGAGGACTAAATTCTGACAATCAGTAATACTAAGAATTTGCAGAAAGAACATTTTTAAACAATCCATTCTGAATCACTCCAGAAGGCAAAAGAGATAAAATAGTATCTTAGGATCAGATCCAAAAAAATACAGAGGTGTCCTGTTACACTCAATCTATTGGAATATGAGTAAATAAACTTTTCTCTCTGCTTTTCTGCTCTCTGTCCCACTCTCTTTTTAGGTTCGCTTTCTAGAGCAACAAAATAAAGTATTGGAGACCAAGTGGAAACTCTTGCAAGAACAGGGCAGTGGTAGTGCTGGTGGTCAAAAGAATCTTGATCACCTTTTTGAAGTTTATATCAACAATCTAAGGAGGCAGCTGGATGGTCTTCTGAATGAGAGGCGAGGACTTGAATCAGAACTGAAAAACTTCCAAGATCTTGTGGAGGATTTCAAGAATAAGTAAGGGAGATTAACCCAAATTCATAGTTCTTGATATTCTTTCATACTACATTCATGAAAATTGGGCTTTGTTAGTAAATATTCAGTATTTCTTCTGTCTAATGAAGAGGCTGGGACAATCTACTCATGAAATTTGGAGGGGGTGTTTTTTCTTTATAAGAGGCATCATTTCCCTAAAAACGAGAATAACTTTTTCTCCTTACTTTCAATGGCTGTGCTAAGTTATCTACCACATGTATTGGAAATACATGCCTGTGGATAGAAAGACTGATCTTAGCTCATCTCTCTTCTTCCCTTCCTCCCTCCCCATATATCAGTGAAGGTTATCATCCACCATTTCCTACCAATAATCTGTTTTGTGAGACATTATTCATCTTGGCTGCTGTGCCAAGTTTTTAGGGACTGTTTGAGGGTTGGAGAGGGCTTGCTCCTTTAAAATGCTTATAATTCAGACCAATATAATATGACTTTGGTTGAATTCCAGAAATTCTTCAGTACAGTAGTCAGTATAGTATATTCAGCGTTGCTTTGTGAGATGGGCAGCTATATAAATGTGATGTATAAATAAGTACAATGAAACAAATAGTATCTTTTGCTTCATATTGCTCAAAACATAGATGTTACCTTCAGTTATAAACTAATGCTGTGCAATAGCCCAAGTTTGGGAAACCTGTCCCTCAACATCTAGAGGGTCATAAACTTTCTGTCTGTCCTATTGAACTTTCTGAAGAGAGTTGAGTTGGCAGAACAGCAAGGAATTTGACATTCTGCTGGGTAAAGTAATCTGGCATATCGACTTTTGATTGCACAAGACACTAAAAATAATACTTAAGCACTATGCTTGAGTCAGAATAGTGTTTAATAAAACTACTGTTATCAAAGGATGTGGAATGCACCCTGGTAGAAGAGTCAAAAGTAGGGAAACAATGAAAAACAATATGTGAATTACCAACTTGTAGAAGCTGAATAACTCACATAATAATTAAGGATAATTTAATCTCTCATTTTCTTTCACTTGCATGCCACAAACTTTTTAAAGAGCTTTGATTGTTAGGACATGTTAGAAATCAGGCAGTCATGGCTAATTGTAATCTATATTCTATATGTAGAAAAAAAAATTAAAAATATGGGATCACAAATATGAACACGTTGTGGTAAAATAAGAGTTTTTGATTTCTTGGTTAAATATTACATCATCATCATCATCATCATCATTATTATTATTATTATTATTATTATTATTATTATCCTCAAGGTATAGATTCTTAAAAAAATTGGAATAGTTTGGAAAGTATGGATGAATGAATGATATATTGGAGACCATATGTACCAGACACTCAAAAGGAGAAATCTAACCTTTCTTTCAATTTGTCAGATATGAAGATGAAATTAACAAGCGTACTGCAGCAGAGAATGATTTTGTGCTCTTGAAAAAGGTAAGTGCTTCAGTTGCAGTGATGAAGTGACAAAAATGTATTAGAGTTCAGGAGGGGCCAAGAGCAGCGATACACTCAGCATATAGAAAGTTCTAGGATGTCCCCTCATTGCTCTCACCATTAAATTATGCTTGCTTTCAACACTGTTTACAGCAAATACTACTCCTTCTTTATGGATTGAGGGAAAAATGCTAAGATGGTATCAGTTTCCTATAATATCCACTTCCATGCTGTTGCTTCTAAAAGACTGGGGATTTGCTTGAACACCAGGTTTGCTATTTTAGAGATTCATATAAAATGGCACCAACAGAGAGTAACTATACTGTCTGGGAAGCTGAAGGTGTCCATGGCAGGTGTTAACTAGGGAAAAGAAGTAAGATGGTATTAGTTGATATTGATTAGACATATAGCTGCTTTTGATGTCTGGTTAAGAGGCCTAGATGCTTTTGTGCCAGACTGAAAATTGCACCTCGAAGGAAGGCATGGAAATAAAGAACAGAGAATGGGAGTCTTCTGCTACTGGTCTCCTGTTTGTTCATGAGATCTTACAAGCATAACTGCTATGTAACAAAACAACACTTCCGGCTCCTTTGCTGTGGTTCCAATTCTGAGGCTGCCATTTTTAGAAGAAATAATATCCTTATTTAAATCAAGATCATCACCATCACCATCATCATCATCATCATCATCAAATGCGCAGAAAATTGAACCATCTTTTGTTTTTTCTCCCCCCCAGGATGTAGATGCTGCTTACATGAACAAAGTGGAACTGCAGGCAAAACTGGATGCCTTAACAGATGAAATCAGTTTCCTAAAGTGTCTGTATGAAACTGTAAGTAAGCATGCTGATCACTAATACAAGTAACTTGGCATATAATATAGTCCCTAGTTTTGAGGGACTGTGATCATGTTTGGAATTTCCAGAGCACACTGTGGGCACCCTTGCATAAGGACCACAAAATCTGGTCATTGCTCACACACACGCACACACACACATGCACACACACTTCCCAGAGATCAAATGGATGAGATTAAAAGAAAATGGAACCTCCCAAAGTTAAGGCAATATCTATATTCCAAAATAAACATCTGCTTTTTTGAACACATACTGTATATTTCTTGAGTTTCCTCTCTCACATCTGTGGGTAAGGTTCAGAGGCATGTAACTTGGCCAAAAAACTGAGAAAAAGACAAGGGTTGGATCTCAGCTCCATATAGCAAGCTACATGTTTTTGCTCAGAATATGGTGATGCTAAAAAAAGCATACACACATACCACACAAAAACACACAATACTTCCTCACTCCCTCCTACTACCCTCTAGCAAGCCAGACTCTCCCTCCCACACCCACTTCATCTAGCTCTTATTCTGACTATATGGGCATGTTTCAAAGCTATCAGTACCCATCATTTTTATTTGCTAAGAATCCCCTGGGATCAATGCAAGGGCAGGAAGCATTCTTGGAAACAAAGATGGCCTCTGGGACTGATGTTTACTTTGCTGCATTTCAGCTCCCCTATTAAAATAAAAATAAAAAGCTTACTTTACTCTTATTTTAAAAGGAGGGTCAAAGAGCCAAGTGGGCATTAACAGAGATCTTCCCGAGCACTTGGATGCTTCTAGTTGGGGACTTCAGGCCCATATCTATGCAAATGGGTTTGATGTAGTGGTTAAGATGCTGGAGTAGAAACTGGGAGGATGTGAGCTCTGGCCTTTCCTCAAGCATGGAAGCCAGCTGGATGGCTTTGGGGCAATCACTCCTTTTCAGCCCTACACACATAACAGAGTTGTCATTGTGGGGAGACGGGAGCATTTGGTATACCACCTAAATTGACACAATGAAGGGGGATATAAATCTAATAAATAAAATGGAGAAAATTAATATGATCAAGTTGGATTAATTGAGATGGCTGGATTCCCTTTGCAGGAACTGAACCAGATTCAGCAAACCGTTTCTGACACTTCTGTTGTCCTTCAAATGGACAACAACCGGAACTTGGACTTGAATAGCATCATTGCTGAGGTCAAAGCTCAGTATGAGGACATTGCCCAGAAGAGCCGGGCAGAAGCAGAGTCTTGGTATCAATGCAAGGTAAACTTTCAGGTGTTTGGTCCTTTCAAGCTTTGCCAATATAAAGTAATCCTCAGGTGTGCAATATGTGGTAAATCTGAATAAGCTCTCTTGTAGTGCTTTGGTCACTGAGCTGTGCATTCTTAGGAAATGCAGTAAACAGTGGGTAGAACATAAAAGGCTATCTTATATTGAATCAGCCACTGGGTTTATCAAAGACCTGAAGGACCAGGCTGAGGGCAGATCCTCCTGAAGAAAAATCTATCTAAATGGTTGCTAAGAAATGACACCAACTTGATGTCATATAATCAGTCATCAGTCAATCAGTCAATGGGTTTATCTGGCTGAGGTCATCTTTCCAGTGTTTCAGAGACAAGGTCCTACTTGTAGATATTGTGTATTGAATTTGGGACCCTCTGCATGCAGAGCACTAAGATGCCAAGTGCTCTATTGGTCAAACTGGCCAATAATCCATTAGTAGTACTTCAGAAAGTTGTGTGTAGACAAGCTTTGTTTGGAATAGTGCACTTGCTATGATCACACCTTTTTTGAGACAACTTGTAAAGGTATCAGAGCATCTGAGGAAATGTTAACTGTTGTTTAGTTAGGCCTTGCTGCCAAAGATTTTCAGATGTAACATTTGACCTTCCCTTTCTTGTGGAATACTAGTATGAAGAGCTGCAGATGTCAGCTGGGAAACATGGTGACAACCTACGAGATACTAAGGCTGAGATCTCTGAGCTGAGCCGGGTGATTCAGAGGATGCGAGCTGAAGTAGAAAATGTGAAGAAACAGGTAAGGCCAGAGGATTTTTGTAGGATTAACTTGAGAAAGGGGAAGTTTCTTTAGAATTTCCTACTGTGTAAAACACCATCTGGTTAGCCTGAGCCAGTATTGTTGATGCTTTGGTATATTTTCTGATGGTGCCACTGACCTGTTGCTCTGGAACCAATGGCAGAGAGCAGTAGGAATACAATTACAATTGTACTGTGTTTAAGTTTGTAGTTGAAGGACGTTTACCTTTTGTACACTGCTGGGAATTATAATTAATGCTGCAGTGTAAAAAAACCCACTAATAAATGAAATGCACTTTTTTATTTTCATAAATATGTGTCTTTTTTGTACCAAACGTTTCTTAATACATTTGGGGAAAAAAACCCAAGTTTGAAAATTCAGAATCGTTTACATTTTGAATGATAACTATGTTCAAGGGGTAAATACAGCTCAATTCTACTTAAGCACCTTGGTGACATTTCTGTTGTCCCTGCATAAATCTTCATTTTTAATGGTTTTGCATCAATGTATCTATTTGCAAGACAGGAAGAAAAGGATGGAATAATATACCAAATCTAGCTGCAAGGGCTAAAAAGATTCTCAGACCCAGTACCTTTATTTTCTGCATTTTCTCCAGAATTTTGGATTCATAATATAGACATAATGTAGGTTAACACTGTCACTGCCCCCACTTCATGGCCTCTGTAACTGGTACTACTTCCTGACTCAAACTGGAAGGAGTATAGGGTAGGCATAAACATTTCTTATGAATTTAGGGAGTGGCTGGATCCAGGAAGAAATACCTTCTCTATCTTCACTATTCTACAGATGCTTCCTTTATCTTTCAGTGTGAGAAGCTGCAGGCTTCTATTGCAGAAGCTGAGGAACGTGGTGAATTGGCACTCAAGGATGCCAGGGACAAGCTCTCTGAACTAGAGGATGCTCTGCAGAAGGCCAAGGAAGAAATGGCCCGTCTCTTGAAGGAGTACCAGGAGCTGATGAACGTCAAGTTAGCACTTGATATTGAAATTGCTACCTACAGGAAATTGCTTGAAGGAGAGGAGAGCAGGTGGGTGAAACATAATAGATGGACAAGTGTCCCAAAGAGACAATGACAAAAAATTATGACAAACTCTAACACATGTCCTTTTTATCCTGGCCCCATTTGTTACCTTTTGGGGTGTAGCATCCAGCAAGCCACTCAAAAATCAAATGCAGCTTTAGGCCCAGAAAAAGATTTATTGAATGCTCCGCTTGTGAAAAATCTGGCTGAGTGTAGCCTTTCAATGCTTAAAGATGATTGTGTTGAAAAACAGACTAAACCTAAAGTGTTAGGATGGCTTGAGAAAGGGAATACACAGTACAAATGTAGATGTCCTAGTGCAGATAAAATCTATTTAAGCATACTGGCATGGTGAGACTGTCCACTTGATAAAGAGAATTTTATCAATCACTCAGAGTCATGGCAGAGTAGTATGAGCTAAAGTATTACGCTTATCTGAACTGGAAGGGCTGAATCCTAAAAGCGATGAACTTCATGACCAAGCAAGGAGTTTGCAGTACATTCACTGTAGTTCTACAGCACACAGTGCTAGCAAAGTTTCAAGGGATTTGTTCATATTGACTGCATATTGTTTTGTTAATGTTTTGTATGATAGTCCAATTGGATATACCCATTACTCATTATAAATACTACTTTTCCTTCACAGGATGTCTGGAGAGTGCCAAAGTGCTGTGAGCGTCTGTAAGTAAAACTAGCTTTATGTTTTTATTTATAACCGACTTTTCATAATTAAAAGGAAAACCCAGGATAAACTATTATTCTCTCATGTGCATGGCAAACTTGATTTTTGCTGAGTATCATATGATAGTCATATGATAATTCATCTTGAAAACCCATTACAATTCTAGTCTCCAAGGGAGTCTCATGCAAGGTTAATGTAATAATTGAACTACACAACTTTGCAATAGTGCAGGGGTGGTGAATTAATTGTCCTCCATGTATTAATGAATTGCAACTACTAGCATTCCACATGGCCAATAATAAAGAGAAGCTGAAGTGATAATTCATCAAATCTTGTGGACCACAGATTCCTCACTTTTGTAATGATCTTTGCTACAGATACAACATATGTATTTATGGTCATGGTATGCTGAATCTGTCTTCCTCTCTCTCTCTCTCTCTCTCTCTCTCTCTCACACACACACACACACACACACACACACAACTTTTACAGAATCATTAATCCCTTACTAACATGTTGGGGTTCTTTGGTGGCTTTATGGCTACATGTGAATTTTAAAAATATTAAATCTGACATCTAGATACAAATTTGAGCTTTCCCCTCCCCACTTTTTCTTAACACAACAAAAAGCCTCACTTGGGCAAATTGAATTTCCTTGCTGTTTCCAACAATATTCAAAGCAATGGTTGTTTCCATTGTTATCATCATTGGGAAGTATTTGCTTTAATGAAACATGTAATAACTTTGGTTATTTTCTCTTCCAGCTGTGATAGGCTCTTCCACGACTTCTTCTGGTGGAGGATATGGTGCTGGATTCGGAGGAGGTTTATGCTATGGAGGAGGATCTGGTGGTTTTGGTGGCTTCAGTTCTGGAAGTGGGAGAGGCATATGCAGCATAGGTGGTGGAGGAGTTTGCTCTGTAGGAGGAGGGTATGGAGGAGGATATACTTCCAGCTCCGGTAGTGCCATTGTGAAAAAAACTACCACCTCCTCCTCCTCCTCTTCCACCTTCATGAGTACAGGCAGGAAATAACAAGTAACAGATGCAATGACAGCCTAGTGCTGGATAAAAGAAACATTCTTCTGATGATCTCCACCAACCATACCCAACCCAACCTTGGCATCTTTCAGAGAAAAGAACTTTGTCTCTTACAACCACTGTGTCTGTTTTCTCAGAATATATCTAGATCTTGCATTCTTTGCTCTTAACTCGTATTAGTCTTCATCCCCAAATTTCATTCTCCAGATGTCAGTCAGAATGTACCAGTCATAATAACAAGCGTTAAACATGTTCAGGCTGTGTTTGCATAAACTAAGATAATAAGCATTTATTCACTTCATAGAAGTTTTTGTCAAGCATGTGTGCCTTACGTTGTTCAATACACACATCTTTGAGCAATAGGAGTGTAAATCCCATGTTGTCCAGACAGGGAGAATCATGATTATTTCCAAATTCTGGGAGTTTTTCTTAGTCTTTTTTTTCCATGGTGAACTGAGGAAGAGCTGAAACAGGCTTGGATAGGAGTGAAAAAGATATTTGATTATGGTCATGTGTAAAGGGTAGGTTCCACCACTATTCTGTTCACATTTTAAGTCTGCTGAATGAGCACGAAAGAGAAAATAGTGTGATGGTAAACTATATCAAAGTAATTGTTGATGTGAGCATAGCCCAACTGGTGTTTTTCTGTGGTTATCTGCAGCTCTGCTGATTGACACTGGTTATCTAGAAAATATATATATTCACACACATAAAATAGCAGTAGTCAGAAGTTGTGGCCTAGCCAGGGTTAAGTGCTATTTTAGGGCCTTATCATTTCAGTGAAAAAAATTAAGCACTTGTTGAGATCATGTCCATTTAAGGAAAAAAAAGTGGGATTTTCACAGATTTAACTTTGTCTGAATTATGCCCCATTTTCCTTCCTTCCTTCTTTCCTTCTTTTCTTTCTTTCTTTCTTTGTGGCATTGAAAACTTCTTTGCTCATTTTAGTTTTTGAGATGATTCCCTTTCATGGGTATGTGACCATCTGCATCTCATTAAAGCCTCAGTAAAGACAATGTTGGTGTGTTCTGAATTTTTACCCTGGTCTTGTTTTGTGAGAACTGTACTGTAGAAGCAGAAACCTCAGCCCCTTACTGTGGGAATCTTGGAAAATGTAGCTGAAATGGAGGCAGAATTCTCAGAGCTCCTGGCATTTTGTAGAATTCTATTAGGGGCATCCATGGCAAGTGCACTTGCTGAAAATCACTATATGTTTGTAGTGCAGATGTCCCTAAAAGTAACTGACATTGTTATAATAATTCAGATTTCAGTAGTATTTCAGACACTGAAAATATTCAGAATATTAAACTATTTTAACTTCAATTTTTGAAAATGATTGTAAGGACTATATTAAAAGTAGGACACCAATTTATAATGTTGCACAAAAATGTTAGATATCTACAGTCCACTAGCATTATATTTATTTTCTTCACACTCTAAATCCTATAGCCTCCATAATCCAGGAAAACTGAAAAATAAATTAAAAAAAAAACACACCTCACAGAATTCTTTGAGAAGACATATGGCACTGAAGCCACATTACAGTAGTAACATTTGTGGTATCATGCCACAATTCTGCTCCGTATTCATAATGTCTCATTTAAAATTGCTGCATGTATTCATTTTAGAAGGTGACAGTCCTTTCCCAGGGATCGTATTTCCTTTGTTCTACGGCCTTCTGAAGTTACTCCCATATGAAACTCACAGAATTTCTGATGTCAGAATGATCAGATTTTGATGGAAAATAATTTCAGAGAAACACCTTCCCATGTGAAACCGAGGGGTTTCTTGTACAAGCATTTAGCCCTCATGTAGAAAGGCTACATATGAATTTTCCCACATTTCATTCCAAATTAAACCCAGGATTAAAGCAAATCATCTTTGGGTATTAAGAACAGTGTGCTGCAAGATCCTTATGCTTCATGGCTATTATGCAATCACATCGATCAGCTGATAACTCCTATGCTGTATCACATTCCTAGGCTTTTCCCCCTCTCATTCCTCAGCACCTGGTGGTACCTCTTTCATCTCCTGAGAATGGCATCTGTGAAATAAGAAATACCATTGCCCTTCTCTCACAACCCACTGCAGAAACAACCTGCTGGGCAGGTTGCCGATTAGCAAGCATTTCTCCCACTTTGTCACAAATCTCTTGTGGTACAGGGGACCCTCCCTGTCTATTTTTTCATCCATGCCAGGGAAGTGGGGTAGACCAGCTAGGCTTATGTCATGGCTGGGCAGGATTTAGCCCTTGAACAACTTTGCCAGAAAATGGAGCTCCTATTCTCCAAAGGCTCAAGTGTTGGGATTTCTCTAGAGTGCCTTAGGTTGCCACTGGATGATCCAGGTGGATTTGTGTGTATGGGAATGTGTGAGCAGCCAGATTTTTCCCTGGAGTGAGATGATAATACTGCATCTAATTCAATATCTGCTGAGACGGCTAAATGAAGGATAGTTACTCACTTCCATTTTGCAATTTGATGTTAGTAAGGGCTTAACCACCCACAAATAGAAATGAAAGAAATACTGCTTCCCTCAAGGAATTCCTTCCAATCCACTAGCTTGGCAAACCTGGAGTTATGTTCCTACCACAGCAGGTCCCCACAACATACATGATCTGATAATCAACCAGACAAATAAAACAGCAACACCATGGCAGAATTCTGAAAGGGGAAATGGGAGAATGGATTCTCAAACCCCACAAGGGAAGAAGGGACATAGATGTGCATATCTCCCTGACCTAAGATGCACCATGCTTATCCAGGCTTGATCATCTGCATTGCAGCTGAAATCAATACCAAGGAAGTGGCTCAGATGTGCTTTTAGCAGATCTTTTCAGGCTGATTAGCAATGGTGTGGGCTGAATTGTGTAGAGAGGGAATAAGTTCTTATACAAAAGTATAGCTAGGGCCGGATCATGGGGCCAAGGTTTAGGGGTACACAGAAGGGCTCAACCGCCAAGCCTCCCTAGAAAACAGTAGGTGAGAAGGGCAGCAGCAAAAAGACCCAATACAGATGTATTTGGGCTACTATGACTGCTGAGCTTATGGTCTAATGGTCCTTGCCATTATATTTTTATCTTCTTTCTCTAATCTAATTGCATCACTGGACTCACCCAGACGGTCCCATTTCCAGCCTCTATATGCCAAACAGCTCTATGATAAAATCAGAAGCTCACCAAAGATCAGTCGTATTCCTATGGAAAGGATTTGCAGTCAAATACAATTTTAATTTGCAAGACACACTTTTGATTGCAGAATTCGGTGGATGCTGGCTGCAAAGCCCGGGCAAATTTTAGTTAGAGAAGGCCTGTTTAGAGATAAAACAGAGGATGATTTTAAGGCATTAAGAACAATGCTCTTGGCATTTCTCTCCTTCCCTAAGGTTTGTCTGATTGCCTTACAGAACTGCCTAGGCTCTTCTGACAAGGCACCAATCGCTTGGTTTGAATTCATTGTGGAGAAAATGTTCTATCCTAAATTAGAGGTATCTCTGCAGCATATGGATGCTATAGTCCAACTTCAACAGACGGGACAAGACCTTCCCCCCACTCCCTCAGTTAAATTTCTCTAGCACAAAGCTGTAGCTAGAGAATACACACCTATTTTCCAGCAACTCAACATAAACTTGGGCAGAAATGGAAGAGGTTAGCCATCTGGCCAAGTCAGCCATTGCTGGCCATAAACAAGCTCAGAATTCCAACTTCTCTTTAAAAATAATTGCTTATAAGATCAGAGGCATGAGCACAATAAGCTGAGACAGTTTTCATTCTGCCCAATCGTTTTATGTGAAATGGGCCAGATTATTATCATTATCATAATCATTGTTAGCCAGTGAGAGAAGTTACAACTATGATTGACACTTAGGAAAGATGTATAGCTACCAAGACAGAAAGGAAGGGGGGAAAAGTATAATAACTAATTTTGTAAGAAAAGAATATCGAAGCCTC